TATAAGTAGCAGATGCAGTGCTCTGAATGTAAGTAGCAGAGGCCATGCTATGGATGTAAACAGCTATGATAAGTTGATGCAAAGGCGATGCTATGAAGATAAATGTATCTATAATGCAACAATACGTATAGTGAGGCATCTTTGTAAAGCGAGGAATGAATATTAAGTTGGTGGCTTGTCTCGAGCTATCAGATTCTTATAAGTGGCCTCGAAAGGGTGATGTCTTATAGCTGTGCTTGATGATAGTGAGAATCCCAAATGGAAGCATAAGCACAATCATCTCACATGGCGAGGCATCTCAAAGTGAGAAATAAATATTGAGCTGGTGGCTCTCTTAAACTATCGGAGACTTATAAGCTGGCCTCGAGTGGACGAGTTCTTATAGCTGGGCTAAATGATAGTAAATGACGAGGAATAAACATTTCGGGAAGCCATGAACTATTTCACGAATAGCTCTCGAACTATTGGAGTCTTATAAACTGGCATCAAATGGTCAAGGTCTTATAACCTTAATGATAGTAAGAGACGAGAAATAAACATCTCGCAAAGCCAAAGACAAATATTGGCCTCCCGGGTATATCGACGAACAGCTTGCCTAATGTGATTCGACATCAGCGTATATCACGACAATTGGTGGTTAAAAACTTCAACTTGCGTGTTGTCGTGCAGGATTGCATTGTTTAGCTCGAATGTGTTGACCCCGATGGTGCTTTGCACTTCAACAGTGACTAAAGGTCAGGTAGGATTACCATATGAGTTTAAGCATATCAATAAGCAGAGAAAATAAACTTACAATGATTCCCCTAGTAACGAAGAGTGAACCTGAAAAAGCCCAACTTGAGAATCAGGCGACTACGCCATTTCAATTGTAGTCTGAATAAGCGTCCTCAGCGGGGGATCGAGTCCAAGTCCCCTGGAAAGGTGCGCCAAAGACTTATAAGTTAAATTAACTTTTTGTTCTTTCCTTATAATATTATAGATTTATAAGTTTTTTTAAACCTTTATTTTGTTTTGAAAAAAGATTCGATTAGCACTTAATTTTTATACTTCATTTATTTATCTATTGATGAAATTTTCTTTAATAAATTAGTTTTTTTTTTACTATTTGTGTTTTTAATATTACTAACTATAGAATTATTCTTAATCTTTAAATATTTTTATATAAAAAAGGAAATTAAAAAATATGTAAATTTAAAAATTTGGGGTCTTTGATAAATTGAGTCTTTTGCACTGCCTAACTTGCCTAATTTTTTACCATTTGCTTCAGATGTAAATGAATCAAATCTAACAATGAATTGTCTACTTATCAAACCAAATTTCATAAATTGATAAAGTTTGAAATATGATAATTATTCAGATCAATAGTTGACATATGAACCTACAATGAGCATGAGACCAAGTTTCTGAACTGAAAAATTTGCAACATGTTTGAACATAAATTTGTTTACGAATTTTTACTTAGGCCCTGTTTGGTACACATTCTTTCAAAATACATTATTTCAAAATTCATTTTCAAACACACATTTTTCAATAAAATAATATTTTTCATCACATCAATGATTTTTCCTTACTTTTTAACCATATAACTTTGCATCATATCACTATTTAAAATACATTAGTTCCTCAATAATATCCATTAAACGCACCATTAATATGAATTTTTAAGATCTTTTTTTTCGGTTTAATCACCTTGTTGATCCATGTCCTGAATTCTGTATTTTTAGCACTTTTATGCCTCAATCTCAATCACAACTGAAGAAGATTATTATCCACAATTTAAACGTTTATTTTTTTGAGTTATTATGCCAAAATTGTGATTCTTTTTCCTTTCAAATTTAGGTGCATTTTTCCATTCTAATTCTACACTATTATCTACCATCTTTCCTGTAAAAAAAAAAATTATGAGAGTTGTATGGAGTTATTGAAGTTGATGTTGGTTGATGAAAGTTATGTGTTTGAAATCAATTCAAACAATTCTCTCCAATCTACTTTAATGTCTTGTGGGCCAGTCACCCCACATGGACAATCCAAGATTCGTATTTTCCAAGATCTCTTACCCGTACATAGTGGACTTGACTCGAATCATATTTTACAACGAATATTATACGTTAGATCCTTATCAAGATCTATCTCCCAAAATCCGTATGACAAATAAATTGTGTGACTAACGACTACATATTAGAGCTAACGAAACTAAAAACATATTAAGAATATATAAGTTGGGGTTTTTAGTGAGAGAGAGAGAGAGAGAGAGAGATTTTAGTAATAATTGCAACAGCGGTTTCAAACGTGGGGATTTTTTGCAGACTTTACCTAAACTTTCACTTTGTGCCACACACAATTCCAAATTTTTCCAAAATTAGCACATGGGGTCCGAATGGATTATTTCTGTTAGTTGACCCAATAAATTGACTTTAATCAATTTTAAAAGGAGTAAAATAATAACTTCGAATTAAAATTAAAAAAAAAAAAAACTAAAAATCAAAACACAATCACTATCTTTTTCTCCTTCCCACACCCCACCTTCTCCTAAATCCAAAGCCTGTTGGATTCTTTTTCACCCCTCCCCTCCCCGTCACGACCAACTCTGCTGCCTTCTCCACCGACTTTGCCACTGTTCCCGCCAACGTCTCCTCTCTAATTCTTTCTTCCACGTCCTCACATGCCAACAAACCAAAGCCCTAAATTTTAATATTGGCTTCAGTGGCAACACAACTTATAACCCATCAAGCGAAATAGCCACCGTATTAATCGACCCAATATGCCCAGCCAAGGTAGATGCTCAATTTACAATTACTTAAATTCCAGATTTTCATTGTTCTATCCCACGACCTAGAAACTATAATCGGTTGAAGCGTATTGAGAAAAAATCGGACACAAAAAATCTAGTCATAGTAGGCATTGCTGTCTTGAATAGTTTACTTGCATTCACCCAAAGTATTCCAAAATTTAACAGACTCGTCGGCACAAGGTGGGATGGGTGGCGATCGGTGGTCATTTTTGGTTTCTGTAAGGGAGGGATGGTGGAGTGGTAGTAGTCAGCACGTGATGTGATGTGTGGTCGGTGGTGGTGGATTTATGTTTCGTTCTTCTGTGGCTCTTTGTTCCTTGCAGGGACTGCGAGAGCTGGATTTACAGTAAATCATATGAACGTTATCGACATTGGGTGGTGTGGCGGTGGTGTTGACTTTTGGGGATGGGCCGGTGGGGGTGGCGATGGTTGCTTGATGGTTTTTGGGTTTAGTAGAAGGCAGGGGCATGGGGGTGGATGTGAGAATGAGAAGATGAACTGGGTTTTGATTTTTAGTTTTTTTTTTAATTTTAATTTAAAGTTACCATTTTACACATATTGAAATTTGTCAAAGTTTATTTATTGGTCAACTAATTATTGAACTAACAGAAATCATCCATTTGAACACCTAGTACTAATTTTTGAAAGGTTTGAAACTGTGGATGGCACGCAGTGAATATTAAGATAAAGTCTACGAAAAATCCAAAGGTTTAGAATCGCTGCTACGACTATTCCTAAATTTTATAGGATAAAATCAAAAAGCCATTTGACTCTAGCATAAAATTATTGCTTATCATATCATTTTTATTTCTTATTTATATGTAGTGGGGGCTTTATCATTCAAATTCACTTATAAATAAATGAATAATGTTTAAGGATTACAAATCATATTTAAGTAATAAAACTATGTGAACAAACGTTTAGCTGAATTTAGCCTAAATTCAATTTAAAAGTACTACAAATAATCAAATAATATTTAATAGAGTCTACTGTTTGTAACTCCAGTATTTTGAGATAATTACGTTCAAATATAGTCCAACGCTCCTATTGTGATCTTTATCTACCTTTTTGCAGTCCTTCGTGATTCCTTCCAAAACTCCTAACTTAATACATGCACAAAACAAGAGTCGGAATTTTTGCTTCCCCTCTAATTCTTATGCCATAGTTTTAGTAACTCAATTGAAATTCTAATTGAAGTTCAATGGCTAGGGATGAAATTTACACTCTCTAGAGGCTAAAAATGTAAGTATGGCATAATATTGGTCCCGGATTGTATTTTTATATTTTAAAATCAAATTGTATTCAATAATTAAATAAATAAGATTAAATAAAATAAGTAAATGATTTTTTTTTGGATCCCTTCTAGTAAAATATTAAAGAACTGAGACTTTGTGTGGCTACCCAAGCTCTGTTCGTCTCATTGAAGAAGTCGAGTTCAATGATCAAGAGGCCATGTCATGCTCGACGCTCGACCCGTATAAGGTCAAGTTGACCTACGAGCTCTCTCCTTTTTTTTTTTCAAAAAATTAAATTTAATAGAATTTATTTATTTTTTTCTAAAAAAAAAATACAACTTAAAATCAATGAGTTAATTGTCCTGATAATATCTGAACTTATGTCAATGTCGTCAATTACTCACTGAAGTTTAAAATGTCAAAATTTGACCACTAAACTTTTCCAAACCTTAGATGTTACTTATTGACTTGACTTCTTTTTATAATCTCTAACGAAAGCCGTGACACGATTGACAGAATATTTAGGTGGTTTCATGTAACTGTTACCACGCAAAAAAAATGTATTTCATTGCTCCATATACTGAATGTCTTCAATTGTTCACTATACTTTAAAAATGTATTCTATTACTAACTGAACTTTGAACGTGATTGAATTTTGATCATTAAACTTATGAAGATGAAGCCGGCCTGTCTCAAAATTTTCCACCTAAGGTCCTAAGCCAGCTTCATCTTTGCAAGTTAATGGCCAAAATTAATGTCCCGTGATAGTTTCGAAGATTTATATATTAAAAAAACAAAAAAAAACCTCCATTTGTCACAACCGAGCGGAATATTCCAAGTTTCCACACATCCAACAACCCATTCTGAACGATCAAGATTCTATCCCCTGATTCCACGATGAAATCTAAGCCATAACCTCAAAATCAGTTTACAGTTTCTACTTTTCTTTACTCAGTTGAATTATCACTTAAAATATGTTGTATTTCGAGACGAAGCTGTGGTTATTGAAATCTGTATTGATTTTAGGGTTAGGGTTTGGGGATGCAATTAAGGTACCGTTCAGAGTGAAGGACGTGCTTCCGGTGCTACCACGTCAGATTTCATGGCCAGTAATGAATAACATTCACAGTGCTGTTGATTTGATGCCGCAATATATTGGTTCATTGACACCGAATAATGGGTCAATTAAGTGGAAAGGCGCTTGCTTTTTTGATACTGAGGCAAAGATCGAGTTCACGGGGCCCGGTGATCGCGGCCAAGGGGGCGGTGTTATCTATCTCTCGGTTTGCTTTCTCAACTCTGTTTGTGTATACGTAAACTATGATTTTGTGTGTATATGTAGGGATATTGTTAAGTTATTAGGTGAACTTTTGGGTTGAACTTTGAATTTTATGGAAATTGGAGCTATGGATGCATAATATTGTAATAACTAAGGTAATGGGCTTAAATGATTTAAGTATTGAATTTTTTGATGAAGCTTTTTCTGGTTTGAATATGGTATCTAAAGTAGTGATGACAGCTACTAAAAAAGTAAGATGAAGAATAAAGCACAAGGAAGAAACTAGATTAAGCTGAAACTTTGGCATGAATAAATTTTTGTCACACTGATTTCCTCTAATTTATTTTATGTCTCTTGGATATAAGGTACTTTACTTGAGAATGCTTTCATGTTTTATTGGAGTCGAGAAATTTATAAAATTGAGGTTAAACAACGTGTTAAACTTGTGAGCCAGAGATAATGATTTCTTAAACCATCAAATTATAGTAGTATATATTCCGATAATCTGTTGGGTAAATTCATCAGCTGATTGTTCAGAGTGGAATGTCACATGTCATTCTTTTAGTTTGTGCAGAATTTTGGTTCTTGTGTATGATCATGAATCTTTTGTTTTTGTGTTGGGATCATCAATGCTATTATGATTGAAGATGGCTTGAATTAGTGATGAGGAATAAGTGATGAGAATCAACGAAAACCTTTGGGAAGAATGCACAGGTTTATAAGTATTTGATAAACATGGAACAGTGCAACTATTTTGGGTTGAATTGGTTCTTATCAAATGTGCTGTCTATTGGGTAAAACTTTGCTGAGAAGGACTTTCTCATTTTCCATAGAGGATTTCTTGCTAAGCTTCTGTTCAACAACATATTAGAATCATGTTTTGTTAGAAGCTGGAGTGAGCTTGCTTCTGGTTGCTTTCACGGAATGATACATATTTAAACTTAGTCATGCTGGTAATAAATGTTAATAATGTTTTTTGAAGTCTGATTAATCGTAATACGTTGTATTTATTCACTTTTTATGAAAGTTCAGGCCTTATACTTGATTCAAAGAGTTTCTTCCCTTTTATGCTGACTGCCTGAAATCTGTTTTTAAGGTTCTACAAAGTTTTTAAACCCCTGCTTTTACTCCTCCTAGACTGCTGCTGCCCATAGCTTGACGTGCATGGATCTGTATGTTTTCGCCACACCTTATAGAATCACTTGGGATTATTACTACTTCTCTGCTCGTGACCATACATTGAAAATCGAATCTTGGGAGGAACAGGCAGAATTGGAATATGTACGACTTTGGATTTATTTATTATTATTTTTTGCTTCTAATATATGATTTTTTCTAAACGTAATAATTTTGACATTTGGAACATCACTAAGTAGGTAAAGCAACATGGGATCTCAGTATTTCTCATGCCATCGGGAATGATGGGGACATTGCTTTCCATGGTAGATGTCTTGCCTCTGTTCTCTAACACTGGTTGGGGTCAGAATGCTAATATAGCTTTTTTGGAGAAACACATGGGTGCATCATTTGAGAAACGTGCTCAACCGTGGCGTACTAATATCAATCCAGAAGATGTTCATTCTGGTGACTTTTTAGCCGTTTCAAAGATACGTGGACGCTGGGGTGGATTTGAAACACTGGAGAAGTGGGTCACCGGTGCATTTGCCGGTCATACAGCAGTATGCCTGAAAGACGAATTGGGCAATCTTTGGGTTGGTGAATCTGGACATGAGAATGAAAAGGTATTCAAATGTATCTTTTTTGTATGTAAAGAATATACTGGTTTCTTCATTTGTTTTTGGTAGAGTTCAATAGTTACTCAACATGGAAAAAACAATACGAGGCTTGGATTCATACTTAAAATATCTTTACTTTCTAGCAAAGCACTTTTTTACGCAAGTCATTATATTCCACGGAAGTAAACTCTAAATAAGGCATAGGCTTTTAAAGTGTCAAGTTTTGGTTATCGGCCAACAATTTGCTGATATAGGTGAGCTAGATTTGCGAATTGGATTTTCATTAAAAAAAAAATTCTTTTGTTGTTATGATGGCAAAGAAGCATTTCAATAATATTTTGTGAAGAATTGTATCCGTGAAAGATTTTGGCATTGCATCTGCAGGCTTTGAGAGCTTATATATCAGTTACTTGTTTTCAGGTTTATTTGATTTTTTTCAAATTATCAAAGTTTAAAATTATGACTTGTTATTTTCATAAGCATGCTTGCATGTTTCTCTTACTGGCTTCTTGGTGTTTCTCAGGGTGAAGAAATTATAGCGATAATTCCATGGGATGAATGGTGGGAACTGGCGCTTAAAGATAGTTCCAATCCTCAAATCGCATTACTTCCTTTACATCCTGAGATCCGTGAAAGGTTTAATTCTACTGCAGCGTGGGAATATGCTCGGACAATGGCGGGCAAGCCATATGGTTATCACAACATGATTTTTAGTTGGATTGACACCGTAGCTGACAACTATCCTCCACCTCTTGATGCTCACTTGGTATGCATATACATAGTTCATGGAAAAAAATCTATGCACTCTCGCTTGAATCATACGATATATACCTGATGTAGGTTCATCACCTGATTACTGGGTCAGCTCACTTTGATTCCTTTGAATGTTTGCTGCTGATACCTTCTGGCTAACTATCTTAGAAATTGTTTTTATTTTGTATCTCACCCATAGCACAGCAGTTAATGGGCAATTGAAATTTATAGCCTGTTTGACAACCATCTTGGTAGAAAAAAGAGAGTTTTAAATAGTGATTTTTTAGAAGAATGTGTTGTTAAAAAGTAGGATTTTTTTTTTTTTGTATATGTGTAAAATATTTTATTTTGTGAATGTGTGGTTGAAAATGGCCTGTAGCAAACCATAAAATAAATTAAGGCCCTGTTTGAGTCACCTTATTGTAGAATGAGAATGAAAAATATTGTTGTTATGGGGCCCACACAAGAGATAGAAAATTTGAATATAAATGTTGATGTGATGGATAACGGTCATATTTTTCATTTTAATGAGATAAAAAGGTGGCCAAAACGGGGGCTAAAGAGTGTCAACTTGACACTTAACTGATAGTGCATTAGAGCATCTGCAACACACTTTAAATTTAAAAAGCATCTTGCACATAATAGAGAGCTTCTTTACATTTAAAGAGATTTTTTTTTACACTCCAACAACCTCATTATTTTTAACTCTTCATATTACTTCTTCCAATAAGTTTTAATGTTTTTCCCTCACTTTTTAATATATATATATATATATATAGATGTTAATGGCTAAAATATTCAAATATTATTTAAAAATTTGAAACTTTTTATTTATTAAGTGCATTTATTATAAAATGCAAATAGATAGTGTGTTGCTGTGTTTGACTTTCCAAATGTAGATAGCCAAACCCATACTCTATTGTAAAAAGTTAAATTGAAGAGTTTGTTGTAGCATAATTTTAAGGTTTGACTCTTTAAAATAAAGAGCATCTTACATGCAAAAAGTCTCTTGGACATACTCTTAGATAATAGTAGTTGACAAAAATTGGTACATCTTCAATGTTATATTACTTGTAAGGATTCTGTCTTTCTAGAAGCGTTGATTCATATAGTTCATTCCTTGTGCATTTGATGAGACTGTTGATTTTTGCTTGATCTGACAGCAGAATCTCTGCAGGTCATTTCTGTCATGTCTATGTGGACAAGAGTGCAACCAGCATATGCAGCTAACATGTGGAATGAAGCTCTTAATAAGCGACTTGGGACTGAGGTGACTGCATCTTTTCTTCTTGTTGATATTTTTGTTTCTACTTTTTAAATTATCTGATTTTGACTTATTCTTGAGATATTTATCAATTAGTCATGTTCTAAAGGATCTATAATGAAACCTTCAGAAAACTAGTTGAACATGCTAGATTCCCTCCAATACATGCACAAAACAATTGTGTGAATTTTTAACTTGGGTAGAATTAGTGTTTGAGCCTAATCACAGGGAGCATTTTTGTTGTTTCCTCCCCTAACATCTCTTGTCAATGGCACTTAAATGTCGGGTTTCAGCTCATTCAAGTTTTAGTATCAGCCTTGCACTTTGCTCTTAATCCCGAGTAGAACAGCTTGTTCAAAAGAAAGATCATTTCTTCCAGGATAGTCAAGGCAAAAGAAGGGCATATTGAATACCACTCTAATTTTACATGTGGAAACAGGTGATAATTTTCTTCCTATAAGTTACTGCTTTAGGAGTTCATACAACAGTAATTATGTTGTAGGGCACCAAGAAGTAACCAAATTGGATGTGGAACTGGCTTGGGACTGGCCTGGGCTGAGGCGGGTTCTGCTGGCCTTGACTTTTGAGGAGTAACCTTTCTCACTCTGAGGAATTTGATTTTGAGCTTAGAATATTAAATATTTTCCGTTTGTAGTTTTATGATAGCCCTTGTTATTTACGTCACTGCAAGTGTTGTCCCTCTTCTGCTTCATACCTCAAATCTCCTACAGAATAACACCTCAGTAAAAAGATGTAATCTTTTAACTGCATCAGGTGAATTATTGTTCAGTTTTCCTGCCACTGTTTGCAAAGTTGATCGATGTCATAACTTGTTAATATTTTCTCATAGGATCTCGACCTGTATGGAATTCTAGCCGAGACTGAAGGACGAGGCATAACCTTTGATCAATTACTCACTATTCCCGAACAAGATGACTGGATCTACAGTGATGGGAAGTCTACAACATGTGTTGCCTTTATTCTGGCAATGTATAAAGAGGCCGGAGTCTTTGCTCCAATCTCCGATTCAATTCAAGTAACTGAGTTCACGGTGAGTGTCTAAAGCCAGATTCATGCAATTAATATTTACTAATGGACTATTGCCCTTAACATTACTCGACTTATGTGTCACCGTTGCTCCTCCCAGATCAAGGATGCCTACATGCTCAAAATTTTTGAGAACAATATGACACGCCTTCCGAATTGGTGTAACAATGGGGAAGATCGGCTGCCATTCTGCCAGATTTTAGGCGAGTATCGAATGGAATTACCGTATTATAACACACTAGAGCCGTATGCTAAAATGAATGAGAATTGCCCTTCTTTGCCCCCAAATTATGAGAGGCCTATTAGTTGCTGAGTACCATTCTGTGCTGTATATGTATATATTCTCCACGGAGATGCTTTTATGCTGCATTATAAGATTGTGCTATACTATCTATTTGGCTTAGGAGACATGCTATGGATGATTTTCACCCGTTTCTACATAATCAGTATGTACCTATTTTGTAAGAGATTTGTATGTCACTCGATCATGATATTTGGCGCACAGTTCGGAATGTGCTGATATTATCAATCGAATCATGCTATTTGTACAATCCTGATCGACAACATTAATTGACAAGTTAACACTTGACAGCATCACATTCGTCTATCTTAAAAATCATTTAAAAATGTTTTTTAAAATCAACGGTTTGAATTTTAACACCACCGAGATTGTCAATAATGATTGTACAAATAGATTAACTCGAAAGTGTCAAAATGTGTTGGGTTTCTCAGGCGTGAGAAGCTTTGTACGTCAAAGTTTTTACTTCGTGTTTGTTTGGCAAAGATTTTAAGTGCTTTTAAATTGTGAGTCATGAGTTCGCAAGTAAAAGTATGCATGATAGATTAAAATAAATGAATACAAATACATGAAAATGCCTAATAATCTATACAAACAAATACAAACTATGAAGAGATTAAGCTAATCAAGAAATTAACAAACAAAAGAATATCACTATGATACAAAAAGTCCCTAGGCTAGTGGTCCATTTAATTTCTGCTATGGCACTTGTCTTTGATCCAGTGAAAACCGGCGGAGGCTCCAGCTTTAACTTTCATGACGCCAGCGGACGCCGCCGCCTTAGTTTTATCAAACGTATCCCCGACGGAGGCGGAGAATTTGGAAGATGCACCGTCGCCGGTGTTGGCTTTATTGGTGTCATAAGTACTGTAGAGGGACTCTGGATCCCACTGATCAGCCCATGTAGTCTCGTATGAAGTGTTTGATGCCATTTTCGTGCCTAAATTACTACCTGTAAAATCAGAGAGATATACAGCTATTCGTGTTCTCAATGAATATATTGAAGATTGGGGGCGCCGTATATATAGAAGGAAACAGCACGCGTGGTGCAGGAATATTATTCGTATAAGGCGGCTCCCGCGTAGGTAGGGGAAGGAGCGGGGTTGGTGTCCAGCCACAAGAAACGTGGGAAAAGAGTTTTCTAGATTCATCTGGACCCCCGATAATAAAAAAATCATAGTATGATGATATCTAAACGAAGAGTCAAAGATGGTTGTTAGACCATTAATAATTCTATTTTTATCATTTAATTCTCATTTTGATGTCATTTGTTTTGGCTCTTTTTTGGGGCTATGTTCCTTATTCATCGGAATAGGTTCTTGGTATCGTTTAAGAGTAAAGATATTTGTACATAATTTAGGTTTTGTTTGGGAGGGATTATATTTTTCTACAGTAAATCAATTCTCATTTTCAACTACACATTCTTCAATAAAATAATATTTTCCATCACATCAATAATTTTTTTTTCTTTTTCAACCAAACATTTCCCATCATATCACTATTCAAAATCAATTCTTCCTCCAAAAATCTCTTTCAAACAAACTCTTAATGTATCGAATTGTTTACCCACTCTCACATGCACGCGGGCCCCGCGTGAATAAAAAAATTTCAAGATGCGGTCTCCACCCTCCTATTATGAGTAGTCGGTAAATGATTGGGTAAAAAAATTCGGTACACGTAGCATGGTCTATCGTTTAAAAGTATGCATGATAAATTTCACATAGCATCTTTTGAATTGACAAACCATTAAATGGCAAGTTCAAACTAATAAGTTAAAAGATGGTTGCTAAAACGGATTTAGAATACTATTTTATCTTTTAATTTTTATTTTTGTGTCACCACTTTCGACTTCTTTTCTATCTATGTCCTCCTCTAGTCAGGGTATGTTCTTGGTACCTATGACAAATTTTTTAACACCTTCTGAATTGAAGAATTGTTAGAATGCTGAGTTGAACATAACATGTCAAAAAGAGTTGCTATAAATTGATTGAATAATTAGATTTTTTAATCCTTTTTTCCCGATTGTAGAATCACCTTTTTCGACAATGTTCCGGGCTATGTCTTCACTTAATCGTGTAGGTTATCAATATTGTTTAAAAGAATTCATGGCAAACTTCATAACTTTTTCTTCGATTGAAAAACCATGAAATGGAATTTTAAACTAACAAGACAAAGATCACAGCCAGAATTAGGTTTAAAAAACCGATTTCATTTCCATTTATAAGTGTTAATACAATTAAAGTTTTATTTTAATGTTAGTTTGACTCATTTCACCATATATAATTAAGCCCCCATTTGATTCAGATTATTTGAAACTCATTTGTTTCTTCAAATTTATTTTCAACTATATTTTCTTAATAGAAATTTTTACATGTAAACCTGTAATTTTTTTCTTTTAACCACATATTTTGTTTAAAAAAAATCAATTTAAAAAAAAATTACATTAAACAAGTCTTGAATATAAAAATAAGATGAAATTTATCCTCTAAGTAATTCTTTTTTTGAAAAATTTGGAAATAAAAAGTAAAATAAATAAATCAGAACTTTGGGGCCCAGGACCCCCCTTCCCTCCACCCCTGATAGTTTGATAAGTTTGGGTTTCAAAAAAGAAAAAAAAGGTGTTAATGTCAAAATTGGTTATTTTCAAATTGGACTTGGAGTTCCAGAGCTCGTGCGAAGGAGGTTCCCATATTGTCGTACCCTAACCTCATGGACTCCATTTAATCTTGAGGTCACAATCGCAGCTCCCTCACCAACATTTTCACCATGGCCCTAGGACCTAGCTAGCTCGACGTCTTGGGTGGTCCATCCGTCCTCGACCTCATAGTTCACACCCAATCATCATAGATCAATCCTTGTCATGTGTGACCTTGTCTCGGGGTTGAGAGCCTTGAGGTTTACCACAAGTCTTTCGCAAGATCTTTATAATTTAATCTATCTATTCTTGAGGAGTCTCATAATCAGAACGTAGGTCAACTTAGTATTGATTAAAAAATTCTCTTTTCCACTTATTAACTTACTTATTTATAATTTTTAAATACAATTTGAAAATATAAGAATAAAATAAAAAATAAGAGTCAAACAAGTTCAAGGCAAGAGTGAGACGTCATTTTGACATCCCTAAATTACATCGCAAACAACTATTAATATGAATTATCTGTTTATTATTCAGTTCATAACTTCATGGTTATATTTCTTTGTATTTGTTGACTTGAGCATCAAATGAGCAACGAAGACATGCCCGACAGCTTAATCCATTTCAAGTATGAGAAACCTTTGTTGGTAGTCGAGCTCATGCCACAACTTGACTCCCATATGAGATCTTTGGATTGAGGTCTCATCCAAAAAGGGCACATTATTTACTATGAAGGAATGTAACAATTCTTCAACTTTGTAATAATTTAATGAATACGTAACACGGTTTCACTTAACAAAATCGAATTGCAATAACTACATTGTTTTATAAAAATATTATGAAGAAATGGCACATTGATGAGGCTTTTTCAAATCTAATCTTATTGTTGTGTCGGGCAGGTCTATTGGTTGGTTGGTTGGTTTGCTTGCTGGATTATTTCTTGTTGGGCTAGACTATTATTACTTGAATCATTTGGTGGCTTCTGTTTTCATCCGGTTATAAGAGGGTTTTCTTTTATGTGTTTTTACTAATGGCTGGATGGATGAGATGTCACCAAGTGTCGCCCCAATGACCGTTG